CTTTAAGGGCTTTTAGACTATGACATTATAAAGTCTATTATATGAAAAGCCTTAACAGTTTCCCAAAGTCCAAGTTGACCAAAACACAAAGATATTACATTTACCAGCAACAAATTCGTACAAACATACAAACAACTGATGGATCACTGACTAATAAAATCTATCTTTTATTTTAAATCATATTCAACAGCTTTCCGTTGCTGTAGACTTGTGTCAGGTTTTTACAGAACAGGATGGATCAATCCAGAGTTTGATTGCTTTGGTTTTTTTTGAGATATTTGTTGTTGATTGAGTGGTTTTTGCGGCTTTTAACTGCTCTTCAAGCCGCTGAGCCACAATTGATCAAAACTCGCTTCCATTTCTCTCTCAGAATGCACCAGAGAGAAACCTCCGGCCACAAGATAGAGGTCGGCGATAACACAATCCAGCGCACCACTTTCCTTTTTAAAGTGGTGCGTTTTCGTCCCGGCTCTAGCTCGGCTTGGGAAGGCCCGGGATGAAGGCTCGCGGCTCCGGCCCTGAACTTTGCGGCGCCGCTCTCTTCCTGTGGGGAGGGGCGGGGCCACGCTGCTCCCGGCTCGACTGTCCCCGATGGTGATGTCGGTGGCCCACCAGACTTGTCTTGGATCACGGATCCCTTCTTGTCACCATGCTCTGTGGGTGTGACTTTTTCTGCCGTGTCATCACCATTCTTATTTATACAACCAATGTGTTCGTGATTAAATTGTTTACTAGAGCTAAAAGTGTTTCAAAGTTCTTCATAGCCTCTGAATTTAGCTGTCAAAGTGCGGCTGTTGGTTGGATAAAACATGCACTTTATACTTTTTTCAATATTTCTTACAGACCAAACCATTAATCAGTAAATCAGAAAAATATTTGTAGATAATGAAAATAAACATGAGATCCACCCATAGCGTGAGTTTTGTGAACAAACAAGGTTATGGATACACGCATGCACACGATAGCTGCAAAGTTACAAAGAGTGCATTCGCCAAGTATGTTTGTGTGTCCACAACGTGATGAAATGTGTGTTTCAACCCTATTTCAACCCACCATCAATACTCAAAACAAGACTCTCAAATATCAATTATTCAGCTAATAATTTACTTTTTTATTTCATAAATGAATATTTATATAAAACATTATCTTTGAACAGGATGAAATGCCAGAAATGCCTTTTCTGCCTGCTGATTTTTAACTTTCAAAGGCATTTATTTGTGACCTCGGTGCTCACGCTGGTTACAAACTGCGTCCTTGCTGAGGCACCGAGCACCACCACCGCCCTTCACCTCTTTGAAGCTGGCCCTTGACCTCTTTGGCTCCGCCTCTGACAGACTTCTACTTAAAAGCATTCTGACACTGACACGGTGACTTTCACAGCACAAATGTTTCTCTGAGATATGTATTTCTCGGTGGAATAACACGATGTACTTTACGTCTTTTGCTTCTTCTTCCTCAACGGCACTAAATAAATCGTCCACATGCATCACTCGCTGTTCGGTTGGAGAGACGAGCGACCGCAGATATTTTGGCATTGTCGCACTTTCTAATCCCCCCCAGGTTGAGTTGGAGCTTGCCGTCGGTTCCTGGCAGATAAAAAAACAATCCTTTGACTCCATTCAATAGTTGTCGGCCTTTTGGAGAGCAGAGTTTGGATGCATTGTTGCCTGTTGCCAAGGGCTTGCAAAGAATGTGTGCCAAGACATCGCTTATACATTGATTTCTCCTCCCCCCCCCCTCTAAAAATCTGAGAGATAGCATCTTTAACAAACCACCTCTCCAAGTTACATTCTTCACATTTACCACTGAATCAGCGCCGGCCAATATGCAGATATTTATTGTTTATCTTCTCAAAAATTTTCTGAGGTCTTGAATGAATGTTCCCAGCCTTGTTATCCAAAACAAACCGTATAAAGCTGTCACTTAATCCGATTTTTGACACGGTAACATATGGATGTGTTGGCACACCAAAATCTAAATCGGGTAAGAAAGTGAATCTGTGCAAACGTGTTAATGTTACGGCTGAACATTTTAATTACCAACACAGACAGAATGGATTATGGGTGACCCTTGGGTGGCGGTGCCAGCTGCTCTCAACATGAGCGCCACAAAAGTCAGCCCGCCTGCTCAGCCTCGGTTTTGTGCTCTTCATCCTAATCAGCACACGGCACTACACCGTCTGAATAATCACGGATTTACGTCTGAAGTGCACACTGAGCGGGGTTTCGCGCGTCGCAAAGAGGCGAAGAAACGCAGCTTGTTAGTAAACGTGTCCGCTGTAACGGGGATCTAATGCGTGACTTTTGTGGTTTAACTCGTGTCTAATCATTTCGATGGAGTCTGCTTGGAGTCGTAAGAAAATATATGCTGTGGAAACAAAGTCTGCTGATCATTTTCTTCATTAAATTATTCATTGTTTAGCCACATTAATCCAGAGCCCATGGCGGCGTCTACAAATGTTGAAAGATATAAACTTAACAATAATAAAAAAACCTCATAAAATGGCCTCTGACTGGAGGCCCCTCTCTCATGTTTTCAGAGAACAGGGGTCACTTGATTAGTAACCTCAAGTTTTGCGCTTTCATCATCTCAGCATGTTTTCATGTAGTTTGAAGATTGTCCATTATAGTAATTATCAAGATGTCGTATACAGAGACAATACTGGTCAAGATCATTTTTACTGTGAACTTTTTAATATTGGCACAAGCCTGTGTGGGCCACTGTTGAGCCAAACAGACACAGGGCTAAATAATGAGGCCGTGTGGGGAGTCACAGGGCAGCGGAGTCTGTACCTATGTGCAGGAGGGGAGGGGGGGATCAAAGGGCTCGGCCCCGGCAGAAAGGGCCCTGCGGCGGCAAACTACTGCTGCCATAATTGGGGAAGAGCCATGTAAAACCGCCCAGGGGAGGCCAAGGACGCCTTAATTATGTCGTGAAATTTAATTAGCCCTCTGTTGTGTGTGCGTCTGCTCTTAACCGCCTGACCTTGATGTGATGGTGTTTTTCGCTGGTGTTTATCATCCATTATGAGCGGAGTTACGGTTCCATTCCATCTGGTTAAGAGGAACTGGATATAAAATGATTGTGCTGTCGGAATAAATTATGGTGGAAAAACGCCAATAATGGCTCAAGACGGGTGATTCAGGTGAGGGTCTGTGTTGCCTGTGTCCACTTATTCTGAGCTCGACGAGGCTCCCGGTTATCTCGGCTTTTCCTGCAGTAAATGAAATGATAATAGATGTCACACAGACAGCCGTAGTTTGATTCTTTTTCATATTGTTGTGGAGAAAGAATAAATGCTCGACCTCAATATTGCTGCATTTGTGAAGCCGGTCAGGAGGGTGCTGTTGCATTTAACTCCCATATTCCCCCAACAAATAAACCTCTTCCTTTCACTTCATTACACTGTGATTACACATCATAATCAGGGAAATACCACCAGCCAATAACTGCTAGAAACTTAATTAAAGAGAAGGTGCTGTGTTTGAATACTCCAGGGATGTATTAGATTTAACATAAAGGTTGTTGGACAGACACTGAAGGTGGTCAAATTGAATAAAGTTTTGATTTAATAACAGCATGACGTGCATGTGAGTAAAGATGCAGAATGTCTTAACATATTTAGAAGAAGACGTTCTTAAACAATTATTTCTTATTTGAGTAATTCGGATGGTTTCTATCACTGAAAATCCAACAAATGCAAATTCACCAGATCTTTGGGCTCGAATGAGGTTTAAACATCTCCAAACATGTCGTCAAGTGACTGTCAGACACCGTCCCTTATTGTTAACTATTTATTTTATCTCCAACAACAAACTACATTTATAATATGCACACGTATAAGAGTAGAGTCACTCCAAAAATAATATAGGACTTGCACTTTTAAACCAGAGTTCAGAGAAAGTTTATATCTATTGATGGCAAGTTACTCTTTATTATTCCAATAAAATATTTAAAGTTTTTTAATGAATTCACATTTCAAGGCTATGAAATTGAAAAGAAGTGTGCAATAAAGAGAGATTTGGAGATTGTGCTAGGCTGATGAGGTAATGAAAATGAACCGGTTGTTTGAAGAAGATTATTCTAAGACGGGCTGATAAAGAAAAGGCTATAAAACACAAAAAGGCTTTTAGAAACGTCTCCTTAGAATAAAATGTACTTGTGATTAGGTTTCAGGCCACAAATCAAACCGGGCAGCATGACAGACGTTTAAATGTGCTGTAACATCAGATGAAGTTGATATTTTCTCTGGCAGGGAGTGAGCTCAGCAATAATAAGAGCACATGAGTTATTCTTACAGGCGTATGATGTTTATGATGATGAATTCTCCCCGTGTAAAGCTGTTCTCTGAGCGGGAGTTATGGTGTGACGAGTAAAATCGGTTCAAAGGTCACACAAGCATGGCTTTGTCTTAAATGGCTTTGCAGGCTTTTCTCTAAATATAGATATGCATCGTCGTTAAATGGCGTTATGATCTATGGTGTCTTTGAAGTGAAGCTTTTCTGTTTGTATTGGTCATTATTTTAACCTTGGATGCTGAACTCTTGAGCATAAATCTCTAAACTTTGCGTGGAAGTGAGACAGATCGCTCCCAGTAACAATAGGTCAGTGGCACTGTTTTATTTTTCTGGCATTTAAATGTTTCACGGTGAATAATTATCGTAATAAATAGCCTGACTGTTATGAAATTGGATATTCTGCCTATTTATTTTGCCTATTAGAGAGGACAAAGGCTTTGCTCCAACGGTCGACAGTGAAATAATGATTTATGCCACATTCAGGTCAAGCCCTGTGTTGTGAGCACTCTGTCTACATTAGCCCTGTGGAGTATGCATGCTTTGAATTACTGCGCAAATATTCTTCTTCTTTTGCCCTTAATTCTTCCAAGTTTGCTGTCGCGTTAAATCAACCGTGTTTTCGTGTGAATGTGTCCCGTGTGTTCCTAAAAGATGAAAGCCATTCAGAGGTTTTCAAGGCGTCCTCTGCTCCTCTTTCCTCAGGCGTTGGACCAGGACCGAACCTCCCTGCAGAAGGTGAAGAAATCAGTGAAGGCCATCTACAATTCTGGACAAGGTGAGACTAGTCTGCGTCTAAATTTATCAGGACTGAGTGTGCTTAAGCTGATTGTTGGGTTTGTTCTCACAACTCTTTCCCACAGGAGAGCCCAGGGTTTCTTAAATATCTTTAATAAAAGATGAGGATTGCATTTTTTTGTTGTTGTTTGGAACATTGCCTTCTGTGGGACAGATGGTGTTTTGTGTGGTTGTTTTTCAGGCCGTCCCAGAAACCGACACCTGAGTTTTGTTTTGTTCGTTGGTGTGACATGGATCCTCAGTAATTTTCCACTGAATACTTCTGAGAGCAGCCTCCTCCCTGTAAATAGACAGTTTCAGATCCCACAAAAAAAGTTTGTTTGTTCTCCACAGAAAAGAGAGTTTACCTTCCTCCCATTTTGACTCTCTCATGAAAACAACTGCAACAACTCTTTAGTCGAGTGTCTTATCAGTCACACAGTAGTTAGTTACTTTGGTTTGATGTAGTTACAGTGAGATGAATACTGTTTGTGATCTAAAAATAGAAATGAGAGTGGGATGTTTGTACTTCTTGCAAATATAATGAATAGTTAAACTCATGGCCATATACAGGATTTTAGAAACACTTCAGCCTGCAAGTTATAATCCTTAAGTCCTGGTTGATTTGGAGACATCCGGGGTTACTGACAATAACAACAATTACTCTATACTTCACTCTACTAGTAGCTACTTTGTGAGAAGTATAATAGAAGAGCAGAAGAGTGTATCTGTTTGTAGTGCAACCAAACAAACTTGTGTCGATGTATTACAGAAGTCTGTCAATAATTGACCTTTTCGCCTCACTTTTGAGCTATCTTGATTTGATGTCATGGAGCACTCAAAGCAGCAGCGGCAGTATGAAATGTTGAGTTTGCATCAGCAGTAACTAAACACAACTCTGATATTATGTTAAGAGAGTCAATGGTGAGGCTGTTAACAGTGAGATAAAACTACAAACAGTAATGCTGCGTCATTGCTTGTGAATTTCTCGTGCGTAGGAAGTTAATCTGAATCCAGTAAAGGAATGGTGGACCCCACCACTACTAAAGAAACCTGCTATAGAGAGGTATTAGCTGAAAGTAAGATTAATTAAATGGCTGTTGCAGAAAGAAATTATGACTATAAACTTTTTAAATATGCAATTTTTTGGTGGCCCAGATAATACCTACAATGTGGAGTAAAAACAAAAAAAAAAAAAATATATATATATATATATATATATATAAAAATACATGAAAAACACAAAAAAACATACAGATGGCAGAACTGCAGCCCTGTTCGGATTGTATTTGAGTTTCCAGTCTGTCAAAAGTTCAAAATGGCCGCCGCAGCTCTTCGTGCTCCTTGTCTCACCTGCCCACCGTCTCAGAACACTTAACGACGAGGACGGATGCATGCTGCCGTTTGACTGACGGCTCCTGCAGAGCTTCAGGCTCCTGGAGACCCACACATCTTGTCATGCCGACATGTGCTGCGTATAAAGACGACTTATTACAGTCAACAATGTTTAAACAAAGTTTCTCTGATCAGAAATCACCGGTTGAGGTCACATGTGTCTGTTATTGTATCACTCGTGTTGCTGCACTGATGAAAGGAGAACGTTGCATTGTGGGATCTGTTGACTATTTCCGCCACATCTGTGTTATCCTGAACACAACGAGGAGATCTTAGAAGATGCACAAGCCTGTTTGTTCCAGGTGTTTTCGCCGCTTTGCTGTTTAGAACAAAGAATGAACAAACACTTTTCTTTGTTGTGGTAAAGTAAAATCTTGCAACATTGGCGAGCATATATGTAGGATGTTCTTGGGAGAGTTATAAAGCTCTGTGTGACTTACATAGAGTCATCTTCACCAGTAAACTATGTGTACGTGAACATCCTCGCTCATTGGATAATAGAGGTGCTAAGTCAAACGCTAAAGTTATAATGTAAAAACGACACCATCTGATCAAAGAAAAAGTTAACAGGATTATAAATCTGCCAACGTTTGGTTCTTAAAAGTTTTCCACAGTCAGGGATTCGGACGTGTGGAGGTTTGATAATAAGCCAACCATCACCTTTCTGACCGTTGCCCCTTTGCACAGACTGCGGGCCTCGACACATGCTAATCATGCTAACCATGCTAATCATCAGCCAGAGTTTAGGGCAGATAAACTAAACCAGCGGTTGACCTTTCCTCTCTGTCTCCAACACAGACCACGTCCAGAATGAAGAGAACTACGCTCAGGCTCTGGACAAATTCGGCAGCAACTTCATTAGCCGCGACAACCCCGACCTGGGAACGGCTTTTGTCAAGTTCTCCTCCCTCACCAAGGAGCTGTCTACCCTGCTGAAGAACCTGGTGAGTTCAACATGCCCGCACTTCTGGTGTCAAATAAACGGGATAGCTTCTCCCACAGAGTGCTCTGCGTTTGCTGTGGATAGCGAGAGTCAAATTCTCCAAAGACAGAGTATAGTTCTTTCCTGTCTTCGCTTCTATAAGTGGTTTAGGATTTGGGTTTAAGGTTAAGATTAGGATTAGGGTTTAGGTTGGGCATGTAGTGGAGAAGGTGAAGAGGTTATTGAGGAATAAAACTAATTTAATACATATAAAGAAAGAGGTGTATGTGCCTACAGGTTCATTAATCTCTACCCTTTTAAAAATCTGTATAAAATGTGCTGACACCGCCAGACGCGTCATAACAGCCGGTCTGTATAGCTGACTGCGGCTATATCTACCTCAAAGCTTTGTATTTTTTTCCCCCAGTTGACGCTCTTATCTTCCTGCCGTGGATTTCCCCTGACGTTTCTGTTGAATAATGTGTCCTGTTTGAATCCTCTGTGAGTGATTGTTGTTGGAAGAAGAGCCGGTCCCCGCTCTCTCCCTCTCTTCCTGTGTGGCTGACGGCGAGATTAGACTCCATAAATACACTTGGCAGCACCAGAAACAACTCTGTGTGTGTGTGTGTGTGTGTGTGTGTGTGTGTGTGTGTGTCCATAAACCATCCTAAATCGCCCACCTGTTGGCGCTACCCGCATATTGCAGAAAAGTGAAACCCTCTCCACTTTTTTTTCCCCATCTCTTAACTCTCGTCTTTTCCATTTGGAGTGTTTTATTGAGTGACTTTTTTAGAATTCAATAACTGCGCCCCGAGGGCTGCTGGTATGTGCGTGCACTGCAAATGAGAATTGACGAATAGTGTTAGTGCCCTAGATGTCCTACATGTGTTATCGGCTCAAATGTAAGGAGTTTATAGACAAATTTGGCCACGTTGTTTCCAGCTTTTCCTCGTCCTTCTCAGTGGTTGTTTCCTTTATTTGAGAACGTTTTACTAGAAGAGACGGTGGATGCTTCCAGGATGTGCTGTTAGAGCACACGGGCAGCCAGCCAGCACAGGATTGATTCTTACACTGGCCATATGCAAGTCAGGCACTTAGGAACCACATTACCGCCCATTAAGCGTAGTTTACTTCCTTGAACACTGCTGTGTGTGTCTGTGTAGCCTCGGCTAACAACAACAGGGACTTAAATGCTTAGTAGCGTTGTAAATGACCTCGCTGATCCTAATGGTTAGAGCTGCAGAGCATAACTGTGGCAACCCAAGCTGTTGGCAACCAGCTTTTGCTAATTCTTCAATAGACTAACTTGCACTTTCGCTATTATGTCGCTGAGTCCTTAAGTGTTGCACTGCACTGCAGGTTAAAGGGACGAGGCCGGCGTTATTCTATGTTTTTCTTGTGGTCAATATATCCCATATGTAAACTAAAACCAACAATGCGTTCCATCTTTCAGTGCTTAACAATTCCCGTATTCCTGTTTTTTTATTAACAACGAATCAAATGAGCACATGCAATGTGGAAAGGGTCGCTTTAAGTGAAGCCCCACTGAGAATTAACACCGAACTATGCAGCTCACCTATCTGAAAGAGTTTTAGTCGATGTCTTTCATGTGTCGGATTGGCCACGGAAATTAGACAAAACGATTTAAGGTTCAACAGAATCTCCTGAAGCTCAGACTGGAGCGGGGCCTCCAGCAGCGATAGACCTGCTTCGCTTCCTCCTTCGACCTGCTGCAGTAAAATAAGAGGTTTTCTAAAGGGAGTCAGAAACACTACCTCTTTCATCCACAGGGACCGCCAGAATCAACACAAAACGAAAGTTCCTCGTAGTAGCTTTAAAAATGGGTCACAACTATATATTTAGATCCCTCAAACAACAATGAATTTATTGGGGACTATTTTCAGCTGCTAATAAATACACATTTAGGGCAGTGTTCATCATAATGCACCATGATAAGGAACATGTCACCCACTGCAACAAAGTAGATCACTTATGTGTTTTTCATCAAGCTTCATTGATCACAACTCATCTTACTTTGTAAGATGAGTTGAGGCTTCTTTTACAAAAGTTATATGTTAGCTCTGTTTTCTCGTGACAACAGCTGCTTTATAATCCCCCGTGTTCCCCGTGTGTCCTCTTCCAGCTCCAGAGCCTCAGCCACAATGTGATCTTCACCCTGGACTCGCTGCTGAAGGGCGATTTGAAAGGCGTTAAAGGGGTAAGATTTACCGTTAAACAGTTTCTCTCCCTGACGTTTATTTTCTCTCTCAACTCTTCCGGTGCTCCCCCATCCCCACAGCACACAGATCAACAGCGGGACAGGGACAATAGATGCCTCCTCAGCACATCTATTAACCTCTGTATGTTGAGTGTAAGCGAGGAGAGGCCAGAGAGACTGTTTTAACAGCTCACGCTGTAAATCTTGCAGAAGTAAACATTTGTGCCTTTGTGTTGTGCTTGAGGCGAGTGGTGCGTAACTGGGTCATGAACCGTTGATGTTCGGGTCCAAGAAGAGACGTGGACGCCCGCTTGGCCGTCCCGAGCGTAGATTGTGAGCGGAGTGAGGCATTTGTTGGATCTCTGGTAGCGATAACAAATAACTCTTTGTGGTCTGCTGATGCTTGTCCCCCCATGTGTTTCTGCAGGACATAAAGAAGCCCTTCGACAAAGCATGGAAAGACTACGAGGCCAAGTTGTAAGTGGATAATTAAAGTGTACTGTTGTAATACAACACATTTGCACCATTAAGCTAATTATAGAGCGCTGAATAATGGATCAACACGCTGTGGATAATGTGTCGCAATGTTTGGTATGCCCTCCAGAAGATATTGCGCGCATTGCAGAACAACAAACCTGCATGCGCGGTGTAAGAACAGACAGTAACCGTCCTCTTCTCTGTGTCAGTACAAAGATCGAGAAGGAGAAGCGAGAGCACGCCAAGCAACACGGAATGATCCGCACTGAGATCACCGGGGCTGAAATCGCCGAGGAGATGGAGAAGGAGAGGCGTCTCTTTCAGCTCCAGATGTGCGAGGTAGGTTGTAAAACAAAGCTACAGTTTAGGACCTTTTTGGTTGGCTTCTCCGCAGTAATCAAGCATCAGAGAGGCCCAGTAGTTAGCCAGGCCCCTTTGACGGGCAGGTCAGAGGTTAAATCCCCACAGTACAGCACTGTGCGCCGTCCAAATATCCTCTTTTATGGAGCTGTCTCATTCTAAATCACAAAATGACCTTCGCATTTATGTCATGTTAAGTTGTTGGCAGACAACATCTGCACTGTGGCAAACAACACATTCATTTCAATGACAAACAAAAATGCAGCATTGTCCGACAAGACATTTGAACCTTGCTCAATTATTATTAGACGTGATTAGATGGTCAAGATAGATATTGGATATATTTTTATCATGATAACCTTCCAGATGTGTGACCTGCTGTCTTATCTTGTAGTGTTTTAGCATTTAAGCCTTCAAACTCATGGGTCTGTCACCCAAAACCAACCTCTCTGGATCGTATTTCATCTTCTTACGGACACCCGTAGCAACACAAACCCTCCAACGCACACGCTATTTTTGGTTTGAACACCCACTTATTATATCCTGTACGTGAATGTATGTAAAGTCTTCTTCACCAGCTGCGCTTAAAGGAGACTTTAAGCTTGAGATGACTTTTTCTCTCGGATGATTTGAATAATTTAGAGAATATCTTTAAAACTTCTGCAGCTTCACATGTAGGGATTACAGCAGCCCCCAAAAAGATACATTAATTCATGAACAAGGTATGCACAGCTGCCTCAACACTAGACGGAAACTGTTTTTTATAATGATTCTATGTCAGTCGATATGATTTAGAAAATACAATACAAAACATCTCGGAACACTGAATGTGTGTAAGTCAGATATTTGAGCAACTCGTACTTTAAGTGTTGTCAGATGTTTCTCTGTTTCTGTAAACTTGTTTTCTTCCCAGCATGCTGTGACCCTGTTTTGAGTTGTCTTCGGTATTATCGCTCAAAGACTAATACTTAAAGAACTCTTGACAGCGAGAATAAAGTGTAAAACCAATGTGAGGTCTTCATGTGCCCAAGAGAATCAGAACAAACTATAAGCGCTCACTCCGCTCTGCCAGAAAACCTCTCTCCTTGTGGGTGGTGACGCCTACGCCTTGTTCACTGTTTTATCCTGCGAGGATTTTTTTTTACTCGAATTACATAATGGACCGATGGCTGTTGCACTGCTGTTGCTCGTGTGAATTATTCAGTACAGAACTTGCTGCAGTCCTTTTGTGCCCTGCAATGCTGATCTGCCCTCGTCTCACGGTGACTCAGAGGTGTTTCCTTGCCCACATTTTCTACCTGTGTTCACACCTCTTATCCTGCTAGAGACATGGTGTTTGGTTACGGTTATGTACATGTAATGTTTTCCAGAAAGTGCTAAAACATGGGACAAGGGGAGCAGATGAGAGTACAACAGATGGATGCTAGGAGCTCTGTGAGGCTGTACTGTATGCAGAACAGCACGCTAACATGCTGATGTTGTGCAGATGTAATGTTTTCACCATCTTGGTCTAGCGACATAACATTTGAATATTTGCACAAAACACAAAGTACGGCCGATGTTGAGGGGAATGTCAGCGGCGTGGATTGAAAGACAATTCACTAAAGTTAATGTGAATCGTCAGAGTGTGAATCTACTGGCATCCAATGTGAAGCCCTCGTCTCTAAATGATATATACCCTTCCTAGAAAAGTGCTAAGTGTGTTGTTGTGTTCAAACAGTATGCACTTTTACCTCTCCCCATTCAACCCTCTGGCACCGCACAGTTTAAGACCCCTCCTGGTCTGTTCTTTTTTTTTTAAAATATGGCCGAAATAAAATAATTCAAGCGAGTCAGTTTCCCTTTTTTAGCAAAACGTTTTGTCTTCATGATTCCATAAGATCTACTCAACAGTCTGTATTGTCCATTGTTGTAGCTCGCCTCCAGTGGATGCCGGATGCCAAAAACGAGCAGTAGCTCCCACGTTATATTAGCACTGGCTTCCTCTTTCATTCTCAAGTCCAGTTTTGATTTTATATTTCTCATCATATGCAGAGCTTTGCATGTTTGTGCTCTGACTGACGATACCATGCCGATTTGTTGAGTCCTCACAGGACTGCACGAGTCCTCTGAACAGTGCCTGTTGGTTGTTGCAGCGTAACAACGTCTAACAAAAGGCCTTTGTGGTTTTGGCCACTTGTTACTGAACCAGCCTCGCTGTAAACGGTAGTTAGATGACTCCGTGGTTTGAGGAATTCGCCTTAAAAAAGCATTAAAGGGCTCTATTATAAGAGCATAATTGACTTGTTGTTGTATTGATACTGCAAAGTAAAAATAACATGTACTGTTTTTATCCATATTGCACATTGAATATCTTTATATGTGAATTTTTTCTTTAATCTGACCTAGTTTTGTGTCATGTGATCCACAAAGTTCTGTGATTTATCTGTATTTTTAAGCTTGTACTTGTATAAGGTAGTATAAGATACTCTACCAATTCAAAGAGGAGCTTGAATCATCACAAACAAAGAGATTTCCTAAATCAACAGTCATCATGGTTGGAAATACCAACGTGTGTGTGTGTGTGTGTGGGGGGGGGGGGGACAGTTGCTGCAGTCAGTGGTACAATCTGTTCATCCCACTTAACCTCATTTCTCTCTGTGTGCGTGCACTCTCTCGCTCTCTCCCTCCATGTTACTCAATCACCAGATTGCAGGATGCTCTCACTCTCTCACCCTTTTCATCCTCACGCCGCCAGTTAAAGGAGTGTGGAAAGGCAGGGCTCAGCAGGCTGCATTATGTCCCGCGCGGACACGGCAGCGGTGCGAGCGATGCCGCTCATTCACACAAAAGAGACCCAACACGCACACATGCGGCAGCGCTCTCCAAAAAACACTGAACCCACACAGGGCTCAGACAAAATGTGGATAATCTCCCATCCAACAGGCTCTGTCAGCCAGACAAAGGGACAACACATGCGTGCATACACACGTATGCATGCACATACAGATGCACTCATGCGTGTGCTAACACACACGCATCCACGCACGTGATACGCAGAGCAAATTGAAAATGTATGTTGGCGTCGAAAGCTTTTGTGTCACAGATTAAATTTTGCTGCGGAGCTGAAAGTGGTCTTTAGCTGTGTGTCTTTGTAAATCTCTGTGGATTGGCATGCTGTGGGATTATTTTAGATTAAGATGATCTTTTATTCGTTTGTTTGGTGGGAGCCCTGTCTGAAGACTCCTCGTTTGTTTTGAATCCCCAGACACCCAGACTGAGCATACACTCTACAAAGCACTTCCTCTGCAGGCTATTCTCTCTCTCTTTATAATGCTAATGTGAAATATTTCTCATCATCCTTTTGAAACTTTATTTCGATCAAGGCACCCTGGATGGTATTCTCTTGTTCTGCAAGTGTGTTTAACAGTCTGGTCCCCACTCACAGTGTCAAGGCAGTCTTGGCTCGTACATCAAAGCCTTCATAAAGGACTCGGATGTGATTATCATGAGGCAAAGTGTTCATACTCTTAAGTGTCTACGGCAAAGCTGATGTCTTCATTCTCTCTGTAACAGCTCTGCCACATTATACCTCATTAAACCAAAAAATCCTTTAAACACACCCTGACTATCAACTCCTGGCTGAACTTTTCACCTCTCTTTGCTTTGCAGTACCTGATCAAAGTAAATGAGATCAAGACCAAGAAAGGAGTGGACCTCCTCCAGAACCTGATTAAGTATTACCACGCACAGTGCAAGTAAGTACCACCGTAATCCCCCTAAACCCGAATGTGTGAAGGTCCCCTGCTGTGTGCATCACACCCACTAAGAAATGTATTTCCAAACACGGCAGAGAAAATGGTTGCTTCACTTTCCCTCTTTGCAGCTCTTGATGTCAATTAGTTTCTCCCCTTGTATGATTCACAGATCTCGAGGGTGCACAGTCGTGTGTGTGTGTGTGTGTGTGTGTGTGTGTGTGTGTGTGTGTGTGTG